CCCCCAGTAGCTCCACAACAGAAAGACCTGGTGATGGGCTCCTGTAAAGATTACACCTAGAAAACCCTATGGGACTGTTCTCCTCTGTAACATGGGGTCACTATGAGTCAGAATGGACTTCAAAGCACCTAACACCACCAACAACAACAGAGCCCTGCCCTGGAGACACCTTGGAGCATTTGTGGTTGTCACAACACCACCTTGTGGCGGCTGACAGAGGCGCTCTTCACAGAGGAAAAGGGCTGTTGGCCAGTTCCTGCGTGCCCCGGGCCTCCTCCAGGAGGAGCACAGGGCAGGCTTTCTGGGGAGGGTCTACTGACAGCCTTTCACTCAGGCCTTGTGCAGAACTGAGCAGCTGCTCCTATTGCCTGAGAAAGTTCCATGCCACCCAGTTATCTCCTTGTTTTCGTTTTACTCAGTAAACATTTATTAGGTACCAAAGATACAAAGAAGGAGCCCTGGTGGCGCAAGGTTAAGTGCTCAGCTGCTAACTGAAAGGTTTGTGGTTCGAATCCACCCAGCTGCTCCAAAGGAGAAAGATCTGGTGATCTACTCCGGTAACGGTTGTTGTTGTTAGATGCATCCAGTCAATTTTAACTCATAACAACCCCATGTGACGCAGTAGAACTGCTCTATAGGATTTTCTAGGCCCATAAACATTACAGCCTAGAAAACCCTGTGGGGCAGTTCTACTCTGTCACATGGGGTCGCTGTGAGTCGGAAATTGACTCAGTGGCACTTGACAACAACAACAAAGATACAAAGAAGGGAAGGAACTATTATTTATCGAGTGCCCACTGTGCCAGATGTTTCCAGACATCCTCTCATGTAGCTCCCCCCGACAGCCCTGCAAGTTAGGGACCCTTGAGCCATTTTCCAGGTAAGGAAATGGAGACTCAAAGGGGATGCGCTGGTGGCTTACACAGCTGGCGTCCCAGGGCTAGGATTAGACCCCTCCTTGCCTGTTCTCAGAGCTGAAGCTTTGCCCATCTAAGCAAGACTGGACTTTCTGGCAGCAGCTGCCCAAAATGTACCATTGTTTCAATGTCCTTTTTTGGTCCAGATATAAATCAGGAGAAGATGGTTTGGCAAAGGATCCCTTATAAGAAAAGACAAATAAAAATTAGATCCCATTAGTAACAAGTCACCTTTATTAAAATGACAAAAACTATACAAAACCAGGGTCAGGTGGCCCTTTTTTTTTTTACAGATGGAAGGGAACTCAGATGGGTTTTGTTCTGAGAATTCCACAGCATCCTGAAGTCACTGGAAGACTTCTACCTTGTGGCACACCCAGGTGGGGAAACTCATTGGGAGAGAGAAAGAAGAACAACAATTAAGTCCTTGATGTGATTCTATTTTCCCTGGGCTTAAAGGGAGTCACCAGTCACCAGTTATTCTACCAGGGGGCGTGGGGCCTAGGCTGAGGAGGTCCATGGACACACAGTTATGCTTACCAAAAACCAAAACCAAACCCATTTCTGTCGAGTTGATTCCAACTCACAACAACCTTATAGGACAGACTAGAGCTGCCCCATAAGATTTCCAAGGAGCAGCTGGTGGATTCGAACTGCCGACCTTTTGGTTAGGAGCTGTAGCTTTTAACTCTTGCACCATCAGGGCTCCAGTCATGCTCACAGGTACTCACAGCGACATTCCAAGATGCAAGTCACTGATGGATCTTGGCCACACCACAATCCAGGGCTCCACAGTTTGGTAGGACTGTTCATGTGAGGAACTGGCAGAGTTTGTCATAAAGACTTATTACGACCAGCAGCTTTATTAGTGCTTTCTGCCCTGACTGCTCCTTACCAGCAATCAGTGTGTCGTTTGTTACAGAAATGGAATAAAGAGTGAATTGTAAAGCTTGGAAATAGGGAACAGGAAGCAACCACAGAGAAATTTTCTGTACCTAGAATATTCTCCTATCAAACTAAGTAAATAACCGTTTGAAATGCGTCCACCTTTTAAAATAGCTTGTGCTATCAGGAAGTGAACCTGACATTCTAGTCCAGAGAACCTCGAAAGTTAAGTAGACTCTCAGGTTTGCTATCCTGTAGCCAATGGTGTGGACATGAGAAGGTTGTGGCTGGTGGCAAGGTAATAACCACTGTGGATTTGGTGTGCTCTCAAACCGCAGTCATTCTCATACTGCTTTACGGTTTGTGTTGTTTCTGTTTATCATCAATGTTCCCATTTAATATCTCTTATATCAACTCATAATCTTTACTTAAATAAATTTTTTTAGTTTTTTTTTATTGTTGTAGTTTAAGTGAAAGTTTACATTTCAAGTTAGTCTCTCATACAAAAATTAATACATACATTGTTATATGACCCTAATTGCTCTCCCTATGCTGTGACAGCACACTCCTCGTTTACACCTCTGATTTCCCGTGTCCATTCAACCAGCTCCTAACCCTCTCTGCCTTCTCATAATATTCTGTTATAATGCTTTTTATTTCAGTTGGGTCTGTTGTAATGTAACAATAAATTATTTTTAAAAAAAAGATTATAACCAAGAAAACCCCATAGAGCAGTTCTACTCTATAACAGGTAGGGTCACCATGAGTTGGAATCGACTCAAGAGCAAGGAGTTTTTTTGGCTTTTCCCTCCCGTAGCCACTTCCAGGACCCTAACAAGTTGCCCAGGGCAGCCGTGTCAGGAATCCTGTTATCACCACTGCTGGCCACAAGGGGCCGCCCTCCAGGCATGACCGCCGTTGCTGAAAAGCAGACCGTAGCTCTTAAGCTGCAGTGAAATTTTTTAAGAGACGGCACTCTGAATGGCAAGCTCTCCAGCTCTCAGAGTGCCATGCAACTTGGGGGTTAGACTTGAGTCTACAACCATTTGGCCGCCTGGAAGTGATGATGACAGGAATTCCCTTGGGAGAATCTCCCATCCCTGTCCCCATGTGCTCACTGCGCTTCATGTTCTTACTGCGAGCAGCAGAGATGGCTCCAGGGACCCAGGCACCTGGCAGCTCTCACATAGTCTGGGTGCTGGTCCCAGCTCTGATTCCCACAGAATCTGTGACCTTGGGCAAACCCCACATCCTCCGAGCCTCAGTTTCCTCATCTGCCAAGGGAAGGGGTTGGAATAAATCTGACTGATCTCTAAGAGCCCTTTCAGCAACAACCTTGTCACCAACATAAGCACCTGAAATGTCCCTTACATGGGGTTAGAGTCTGAGTCCATCCTTGTCATTCAGCATAAACTACCAGCTTATTGAAATGTTAAATTCTTTGGCCAGATTATTATCTCCCTGGAAGCCAAAGGAGTGAAGTTAGAATTCTGTGCTACAGAATCTTTTAACATCAGCATGAGAGGGGAGCTTAGAGAGTGTGGTATAGGTTCTCAGACTCTTGTTGACCCGGAACCCTTTACTCGGACAAATTCTGACTTGCAAGCCCAAATGAAAATGTTAGAAGCAGAGCTGCTGTGTTTAGAGACCAGAGCCCAGGGAGAGGAAGCCACCTCTCCTGCATCACTCAGCCAGCAAGTGAGTGGCAGAGCTGGGTGGAGCTGACCCCCCTGGGCACATTCCTCAGAATGACATGAGGGACTCAGAATTGTATGAAAGAGTTCACGTGGGGAGGAAGGGGCACGGGACGAGGAAAGGACACACTAACTTCTACTGTGCATTTGCTATGCTGGGTCTTTCCCCACACCATGACTTAGTGCTCATACCCCACAGGCCAATATCACTATCCTTTTTTTAGTTCAGAGAACTTAAGTGACTTAGGTGAAGTCACGCAGCTCAGAACTGACTAAGCTGGGATTTGAACCTAGGGCTTTGCGACTCCAAAGCCCATACAGCAACTTTCCTGGGGGACAGCGGTTTATTCACTTAGTCAGTCAAACATTGAGCACCAAATATGTGCCAGGCACTGTTTAGGTCCAAGCCATACAGCTGTGATTATGCAGCTGGAGGACCACCTTCTCGAACCTAGATTTTAGAGGCAGACAGATGATAAACAAACCACACAAAAAGAAGGAAAATTAAGCAGAGTAAGGGGATGGAGGATGAGGGGCTGAGTGTGTACCTCACTGGCCTAGCGAGGTGCTTCTGCACAGCCATCCGTGAATTGTCGCCAGTCTGCAACGAGATAAAATAAGTGCTTCCTCTCCCTTTCTGTACTTACAGGACAAACAGTCCAGGGACAGTGCAGTTCCGTGTGGATCACACTTTGCAAAGCCGCAACCTAAAATATTTCCAAATCAGTAGGTCAGTGTGACTAGAAACCTGTTTTGGGTGCAGAGGATCATGGCTGGCCACTCCCTGCCTGGGAGTCACTGGTTCCATCTCACCATCCCCCCCATCCTCACCAGGCTGCGCAGACCCCAGGGCACTGGCTGCCAAGGAAGGCTATAGTGTCTCCTACCTCGTGTGTACAGTGATCCAGGGGCTGTAAGTCTCCTAAAGGGAGACGTCCCATCCAAAATCCATGGCTTTTTGTGAGTCTTGCGGATAGTGGAAAGAGACCTGTGTTCAGATTCGGGCTGTGTCACTGACTAGCCATGTGATCTTGAAAATGTCTTTGTTTATCCTTAACTCTAAAATGGGGATAATGATGCTTTGCAGGAATAGATCAGGCACACTGGGGCTTGACCCAGGGCCTGGAACTCAGGAAGTACAAGCCTCTGTTACTCTGTGTGTGCGTGTGTATGTGTGCACATGTACTTGTGTGCACGCGTGTGTATGTATATTGTGCACGTGTATGCATGCTTGCATGTTATGTCTTGCACTGTGCTTGTGTGTGTGCATGTATGAGTGTGTGCTTGTGTGTGTGTACCTGTGTGTGCTTTTGCGTGTGTGCACACGTTCATGTGTATGTGTGCCTGTGCATTCTGTTCATGCATACATGGGGGTGTGTGTGTGTGTGTACGTGTGTGTGGATGTGGATGTGACACTCATCTCCTCCACCGCTGTTAGAGACTTCCTCCCAGGGCCTGCTGTGACCAGGGACACTGATGTTCTTTTCCTGGGGTCTCTCACCAGACTGCCAAGGGATCATTGAGGACGTCGTCCTGCTGGGTGCACCAGTGGAAGGCGAAGCCAAGCACTGGGAGGCTTTCCGGAAGGTGGTGTCTGGGAGGATCATCAATGGCTACTGCAGGTCTGTCCAAATCTCAGGCCAGTAAGGAGGTGACAACACTTACTGAGCACCTAGTGTGCCTGGGCCCTGTGCTGAGGACACAGATTTGAGGCCAGGCCCCTGTGCTGGAGGATCCCGGGGACCCACGGGCACTGGACCCGTAAGGAACAGAGTCCAGGCATGTTCTGACTGGGGAGGCGTCCATTCCTATAAGGTCATTGACAACAGGGGAAGACCCTGAAAAGGACCCCCCTGTGTCAGTCCTGGGACCAGCTTCTAGGATGACAGGAGTGGCCAGGGGTGGCTCAGCATACTGGAGCTGAGGGAGGTGGACGAGGGGAGCAGAACCTGGTCTGAAGAACAGAGCCTAGGCCCCAGTTGGAGCTCTTTGAATGCTGACTAGGGAACTTACATATTAGTTATTTGGCAGTGGAGGAAGGGGAATGGACAGGGGGCCGGGCTGAGCTGTCAGAGCAGGGGCAGGGGGACAGCCCAGGAAGCTGGCAGAGGTGGGGAGCCAGTACCCAACAGGGTGGCAGACCCGGGGACCCACAAAAGCTGGTGACCATGGGGCTGGAAGGTTGCAATCTTTGCTTGGGCTTTGAGAGTGAGGACTGCGGGGTTTCAGCCAAGGTGGTGGCCCAGGCTTTGGGGAAGGAGAGACGATGAAGCCACCACTGAGTCTCAGGACAGTCAGCCTAAGAAGAGGCCCGTCCCTTCACCCTGAAGTCAAAGGCAAGGTGGTAGTGTTCAAGAGCACATGATTTGGAATCACACAGACCTGGTCTTCTTGCTGGCCTCAGTTTCTTCATCAGTGAAAGGGTTATAATCACAGTAACACCTGGCCCCCAGTGTTGTGATGATGGTTAAACAGTATTTGGAGTGGCATGTAGTGTGTGCTCAGTAAATGACAGATGCTGTTACTATTATTATTATTAGCCATTGCTTGGGATGTTCACTCAACAGACTTTTTGTGAGAGCCAGCCTCGTGCCAGGCTGGGGCCACAACAGGGAAGAAGACCCAGGCACAGCCCTCACAGCACCCAGAGCCCAGCAGGAAAGACAGGAAAAACAGCAACTCCAGTCAGGTATACAAAAGTATGTCTGCAATACCAAAATCCAGGCAGTTCTGAAACCCAAAGGCTTTTTCCGAAGTGTGGCACAGACTCACTTATTGACAAAACGTGCCCTGAACTAACAATAAAGACAAGAAAAAGAAAGGACAAAAATTTTGGTGTCAGACGATCCTGGGTTAAAATCTTGGCTCTGCCATTTACCTAAGGTCCCTGGGTGGCACAAATGGTTTGTGCTTGACTGCTCACCTAAAGTTTGGCAGTTTGAACCCACCCAGCAGTACTTTGGAAGAAAGACCTGGCAATCTGCTTCTGTAAAGATTACCACCTAGAAAACCCTATGGGCAGTTCTACTCTGTATCACATGAAACCAAAACCAAACCCACTGCTGTCGAGTCGATTCCGTCTCATAGCGACCCTATAGGACAGAGAACTGCCCCATAGGGTTTCCAAGGAGTGGCTGGTGGATTCAAACTGCTGACCTTTTTTTTGGTTAGCAGCCAAGCTCTTAACCACTGCACCACCAGAGCTCCCTATAAACATGGGGTCACCGTAAGGCAGAATTGACTCAAAAGCAATAGATTTGTTTTGGAGTTTTTTTTGTTTTTGTTTTTTGTTTTTGTTTTTTTTTTTTTTTTGCCTTTTACCTATTGTATGGCTTTGGGAAAACAACTTCCCTGAATTTCAGTGTCCCCACCTATAAAATGAGAATAACAACCCCTCCTGCGCAGGAGTGCTGGGAAGATTCCGTGAGATTACATTGGAAGAGGACTGGCACTTAGTAGGTGCCCAATAAATGGTAGCAGTGTACAGTTATTATTATGGGGCATATTCACATCTTTCCTGCTGCTGTCTAGTGGATTCCAACTCATAGCAACCCTAGAGGACAAAGTAGAACTGCCCCATAGGTTTTCCAAGGAGCAACTGGCAAATTGGACCTGCTGACCTTTTGGTTAGCAGCCAGGCTCTTAACCTCTGTGCCACCAGGACTCCATATTCACAAAGCATGTGTTTTTTGGGTACTTTTCATAAACAGCAAAGGAAAAGAATTAAAATTGCATGTGTGCAGTACGAAAGCAGCAAAATCTTATTAAATCCATTAGTTCTGCTGAGAACCTGAGGCTAAAAGCTTGGTTTTCATTATTTTGTGAGATCCAGAGCTGTCTCTCTGGAGAGGAAGAAGGAGGAGGAGGTTGAGGAGGAGGAAAGAGAAGGAGCACACAGACCAAAAAACATCACTGTAATTCCTCGGTTAAATTAAGTTCCAACCAGGAGTTCACATTCTCGGCCCCCAAGGGCCCTTTAGTTGCCCATGAACCTACTTAAACATGGGGGGCAGGCAGAAGGTATTCAGGCCAGCACAACCAAATTAAATACATTTATAAATTTATAATTACATTAATAAAGCTCTTTGCAAATCCGTTTGCTGATTTGAGCTTTTCATGAACCCTGGATGCCAGTATTCATGCTCCCTATTGTCTCAGCGAGGAAACAAGCTCAGAGAGGCAAGTGACTTGCACAAGGTTACACAGCAGAGCCAGGACATAAACTCAGGCCTGTCTCACTCCATGATTAGATGGTTTCATTCTGAGTTCCCCTGATGACTCCACGTGGCCCAGGGACAAGAGGCCACCACAGGCAAGTCTCTGTTCCAGATCTTGTGAGGGAAGGGATGATGATAGAATGGGGAGCGGGGAGGGCCCTGCCCACAGGTGTCTCCAGGCCTGGTGAGGGAGCCAAGAGGCCCTTCAGCAGGTGCCATGGTGGAGAGTCCAGGGTTCAGCTATGTGAATCATGCATCAGCATCACCTGGTAGATAGATAGCTAGCTGCCATCAAATCAACTGACTCATGGCGACTGTCTTAGTTATCTAGTGCCGCTATAACAGAAATACCACAACTGGATGGCTTTAACAAAGAGAAATTTATTCTCTCTCAGTCTAGGAGGCTAGAAGTCCATATTCAGTATGCCAGCTCCAGAAGGCTTTCTCTCTCTGTCTGTTCTAGGGAAAGGTCTTTGTCATCAATTCTTCCCCTGGTCTAGGAGCTTCTCAGCACAGGAACCTCCTGTCCAAAGGACGCACTCTTCTCCCGGCATTGCTTTCTTGGTGGTATGAGGTCCCCATCTCTCTCTGCTTGCTTCTCTCTTTTACATCTCAAAAGAGATTGGCTCAATACACAGTCCGATCTTGTAGATTGAGTCCTGCCTCATTAACATAACTGCTGCTAATCCCATCTCATCAACATCATAGAGATAGGATTTACAACACATAGGAAAATCACATCAGATGACAAAATGGTGGACAATCACACAATACTGGGAATCATGGCCTAGCCAAATTGATACACATATTTTTGAGGGACACAATTCAATCCATGACAGTGACCTTATGTACAACAAAGCTAAACCTTGCCTAGTCCTGCATCCCCCTCATGATCACTGACATGTTCAAGTCCATCATTGTGGCTGCTGTGCCAGTCCATCTCACTTAGGGTCTCCCTCACCTTCACTGGCCCTCTACTTCACCAAACATGATGTCCTCCTCTAGCAATTGATCCCTCCTGATGGTGTGTCCAAAACAAGCAAGTTGGACAACGTTCTGTTGTAACACATAGGTTTTCATTGGCTAATTTTTGGAAATAGATCTCCAGGACTTTCTTCCTAGTCTGTTGTAGTCTGAAAGCTCCACTGAAACCTGTCCACCATGGCTGACGCTGCTGGTATTTGAAATACCGGTGCCATAGCTTCCAGCATCATAGCAACATATAGGCCATCACAGACTGACAGGTTCAATTAAACAGAGACTGCTGAGCCTCACCCCCAGAGAGTTGCAATTCAGGAGGTCTGGGCTGGGGCCCATAACTTGCATTTCTAACAGGTTCCCAGGTGATGCTGATGCTGCTGGTCCAGGGACCCCACTCTAAGAACCAATGATTCACAGAACTAAGGAACCAGGGAACAGCCTAGGCCTTTGTAGTACTGAGCTGGGCTCTCCTGGAGATGTGCAGCCATTACCCTCCTCTGTGGACTAGACCCTCTGCCCACCTTTCTTCACTGGATACTCACAGGTGAGGAAACTGAGGCACAGCAGTGTGCCCAGAGCTAGTCAGTGGCGGAGCTAGGATTTAATCCCACGTCTCTGACTCCAAGTCTGCCCCTCTTCTTTGCTTCCTGGCCTACAAAAGCTGATGGGGAAAGCAGCTGTAACAGGTGCTAAGTCCCGTCCCTGACGGGGGAACCAGAGATGAAGCGAGCCCAGTGATCAGACCTTAGGGCGCACTGAGTTGGCTGGGGCGACTGGGGCGGACCCACACACAGCCAAGCGCTTCAGCCTTCTGTCAGTGTGGAGTTCAGTTTCATCGTCTTGTGGTTGTTGGCTGTCAAATCAGCTCTGACTCATGGCGACCTCGTGTGTAACAGAATGTTGCCGGGTCCTGCGCCATCTCCATGATCACTGCTGTGTTTGAGTCTATTGTTGTGGCTGCTGTGTGAGTCCATCTCATGAGGGTTTGCCTCGTTTTCACTGACCCTCCACTTGACCAAACATGATATCTTTCTCTAGCAACGGGTCTTTCCTGATGACAGATCCAAAGTAAGCAAGACAAAGTCTCACCATCCTCACTTCTAAGGAGCATTCCAGTTGTATTTATTCTAAGACGAATTTGTTTTATCATCTGCATATGTTCTATTTTTTTAATTTTCAAATTCATAGAAAAGTGGAAAGAATAGTCCAATGAACTGTATAGCCCTCACCTAGATACACCAAATTAACATCTTGTACACCCACTGCATCTCTACATGCACAAACACACACGCTTCTTTTTTTGTCCAACCAGCCTGAAGTAGGCTGTGGATAGCATGACCTCCACTCCTAAATGTTTCAACATTCATCTCCCACAGTCACCACACCATTACCACAGAGAAGAAGAGCAACATTGATTCAGTAAC